ATTGTGCATTAAATTTCGCATTATATTATGTATTATATTATGTATTAAATATGATGTATGTATATATTATATAAACAATATGATATACATTTTTACATTTATATGAAATATGTATGATATATACATATATATATATATACACATAATATCTGATATATATATATATGTATATATGATATATATGATATATGATATATGATATATATATATGATATATATATATGGTACCCCCAAAAAGTCTACAATGTTTCTGAATATACCTTGGTATATGGTACACTAAAGGTATATGTTTAATCAAAGTTATAAAGGAATATTAAAGGTATCCTAAAGGCATATTGGAGGCAAGAACATGGCCAAGAAACTTGTATTTGTATCAAGGTATAATACAAGTATATTAGATGGAAAATAAAATGTATCTTGAAGATGTACTACATTGTATTAAGGAACAAACATATTCAAGGTATCTTGAAGATATGTTCATAGTCAATAAAATGGGATATTAAAGAAATATTAAAGGTATATTGAAACTATAGTAAAGGTATAGTCATTGTATGTAAACTATGTTTGATCAAAGCATTTTTCTTACTCTTGCCTCTAATTCATCAAACAACGAAAACCATGGTCATAAAAGAGAAATCAAGGAAGGCTGAGCTTCATTAAAGAATGTATTGCATCCTTCCACACATATCACACATGATAGTTTTCTTGCAAGAATAGTGGTTCTTATTTAAGGGAATATCTTGGCTTCAAGGCAGATGCAACCTGTAAGCAGCATTTTCCTGTAACAACATTTTTCTTCAAATCAAATGCTTTGAACACGTGTTTCTTCCCATCTTCCCAATTTTTCTTTCTGCATCTCCAACAAACAAGTGTGACAGCACAAAAAATATGCTTCAGGGTGGGTATGGGGGGGGGGGTAGGAAAAAAACAGTAAAAAAGGTAGACCTTTTTCTGGAAGGGGGGGTAGCACATATATATATATATACATACATTGAGTATATATTTATATTAATATATATATATGATTATATATAAAAAATATGTATATATATATGATATATTTACGCTATGTCAGATATATATATCATATATTTATGTATGATTTATGATATACTATGTGTGTTACCATGATACAATATGACAGCCTGTACTGTCCACCTGGCTCCCAGGATTCCGCCGCTTAAAAAATGGACCGATTGTCCATCTACTGCTTGGTGTATCAAGGTTCGGATTGTCCATGGGTTAAATCGGTTAAATCCTAGTTCTAAGTAGTATGACCATGTATTACCCCTATCATAATAGTATTACCCCTATCATAATCTACCATCTAGTGGTTTTGTCTGAAAATCTATTGTAGCCTCATAAAATTTTCCAATGGTTTTTGTCATCATTTTCCCCATGAAAATGGCCATTTGACACAGCCATGTCCCAGAATCCATCCACCAGTCACTAGCTACGCGTCCCTGTCAAGGCTATGGTCCTCCAGGAACACTGCACCCTGCTCGCTACCTGTCAAGAAAGCCGCTGGGGAAGATAGGTCAATGATTGGATTTCATGGGGATTTGGACATGATAACATGATAACATAAAACATGATAACATGATTACATGGATTTCACGTTATCTATCAAAGTAAGTAAAAGTGGGGATAACACTGATAACACAAATACCACCAGCCTTGGGATATGACATGGTATGAGTCAACATTTTAGACCCAGTGGACCACAGCAATCAACCGATTGACCATCCAATTCTAGCAGTCAATAGCAAGCATAGAGCCGCGTGTGTATTTGTATGTGCAAAACCATAGAGGTATACAGGTGGGTATGTGAATTAGATTGAATCAGTAAAAGAAACTGGCGGGAAGTAGGCTTCTGGCTACCTTCAGCTCACGATTTTGAATCTAGCATCTAGGCAGCATGTAGGTCAACACCAATCTCCAGGTCTCGGTATTTAAAGGTGTGTATTTCCACATCTGCCGAACACTCAAGATACAAGCAAAATATTGTCTTTTTCCTTATAAGAAACCCTCTTCCCAAGTCTATTTTCGGCGGTTTAGGTTGCTTCCACGTGAGCCTTATTGAAAGCCCTCTGTCGTTCCGTTATTATGTATACTGGCTGGTTAACAAGGACTCCCAGTTCATGGATGATGATACTTCCCAATAAATAGGACAATATCACCTCCCCAATCATCAACCCTAGATTTCTCAATGATATCCTCAAATTTCCGGTTTAATCTCTGCTCCCTAATCCTAAAACACCCCCCCAAATGCTAAACACGGTGATCTATCTTTATTATTAGGGGGTATGTAGTATTAGGGTGCCCCTAATAATAAAACAAAAACCTTAATTAAAAAAATGTTTCGATTTCAAAATCCATTACATCCCTTTTTTAAATCCTTTTAAATATTGCCAAAAATTGGATTTTGAAGCTTTCCCCTAATAATAAAACAAAAACCTCAATAAACTAAATAAAAAAATCGATTTCAAAATCAGTTAAATCCCGTTTAAAAATCCCTTTAACATATTGCCAAAAGATTGGATTCTGAAGTCTTCCCCTAACAATCAAATTGGAATCTTTGTAAAAAGAATAAACAACATGATTTCGACATTGATGGGACCATAATGATAAACTTACGGGTCTCGTTCTATTTTTATTAAATTTTACTAATAGGGGGTACAAGCCATTATTTCACCATCCTGGTCTCCTATTGATTTTCAATTACCACATAAAGAACGCAATTGTGAGCAACCAACAAAATCCGAAAGTGACAATCCACACCACTCCTATTTTTATTAATTTGGGGAGTTTTAGTAATAGGGAGAAGAGAGTACATCCACCTTTTCTCCATAGAACCATGGGTTTCACTACAAAATCTACAAAAATTATGTTTTTTTCCCTCCACGTTCTCCATAAATTGCCGAAACGCTCACGTTCACTACAAATTGCACGGGTCACCCCTTGCCGAAACGCCGAAACGCTCGAGACTTTCGCCAAGGAACACCAGGCGATGACCTCTTTTTCGCGGTCCTCCAGACCTGCGGTCGATCCGTTTCGAAATGAAGAGACGATGATAAAATCAAATTGGAATTGTCATGTTAACATTATCATTGTATCATATTGTATCTCCATTTCCAAACATTATAATGTTACCATATCATTATCATTAGAATTCATGTCAACATGAAAAACTCCGAACCGACAATGTAAATGACAACGATATGTTTGATACAATTGATACAATCTTATCAATACACTTGCGGAAAAACAATAATCATATATAGTTCGGAAGAATTGCATGTCCACTGTGCACGGCAAAGCAATAGAAATAAGACATATACATATCATACGTACTACTGATCTTGTACTGATAGTAAACATAAGAAGGACAATAGCAATAACGATAATAGCAATAATGATACTAATCTATACTAATCAATACATCAGCACACATAATAATATATTACTGAATCAAATGTTAATAATACTACTGTAATAATAAGAGTTCTAGTATAAATAAACACAATAGACAATATACATGGTAAATACCAAATATGACACATATCCCATTTAGGTAGGGGCCAAAAATGACCCTCCTCATGACATCGGCCATGATTGATGATGCCATGATCCTGTGGCGAAGCGCCGCTCGGCGCCATGAACGGTGCCTAGCTTCAGGAGCCACGCGCTCAGTCCATCGGGCGGATGATCCTGAGGATAGAATGGGAATAAATAGTCTAAAAATTGTATATATATATATGTATATATATATAGGGAATTATCATCTACTTGCTGGTTCACCCCACTTGCTAGCTGGTTAATAAGACGTGGAAGTGGGGGTGTACAACTCTTCTGCCGTCAAAGATGGGATCATCCACGAATTGGGACCCTCTGGGTATACTGGGAGCATCAAACAAATCATTAGATGACGTATATATGTATAAATCATATAAATCTCATATCATCTATATCTGACTCTTGTTCTTCTCCTTTTCTGCCAATCGCAATCCTATCCATCGAATCCAGTAAGATGTGCCATGATGTGACTGCCAAGTGCCACAGCTATCCACGCTGCACGTCCTTGGGAGTCTTCGGAGAATCCATCGGCACGGCTCAACCGGGGACCGGGCTCCACTGAGGCTCCACTGGGTGCCGCTTTGTCGTTGCAGTTTTGGGGTGTTCCCAACCGTCTTCAAGTCACTTCAATCCGATCATCTGAACAAAAATAAATAACAGGCATGTAGGACCCAGAAAATGAATCACTCGATTGTCATGCATGATCTATGTTGGCTCTCTTTTTCAGCGTTCAGCACTGCTTGAACCAGTAAACACTCTAGTCTCACCGGTCTGGATGCATGGCTTGACCGTGTCTAGGTGGAAAACCTACCATTTGCATCCAATTGCGGGTATTTTCCTAGGGAAAGCATGGGTTTTCCACATCATTAGTTTACCCCCCAGTGTGACTCCAAGAGTCCAAGAGAGGTTCTGCGAGCGTCCGAGACAGTCCGAGAGCTGTTGGATTGCCCACCAAGGAAGACCCTTTGACAAAATCCACATCTCACTCTTTGATGCCCTGAGGATGCTTGGATAACATACAATTTTGGTTAATCTTGGGATATTCTAATCCTGATATTCTGATGCTTAGGTTGCCTCTTGAAAAAAAACTAAAGTGTGATCCGTGCTGGTCTTCAATGTATTTGATTCATTCCCACATCAATAAGGCACACAATGGCAATCTATGCTACGACATAAGCGTTTTCACATGGCCGCCATGGCCATTGAAGGAGCACCTCCTTTTTGTGGGGCAATCCACTGGGCAGATGCAGTGGCTGCACCCGAGTGAGTAGGTAGAATTCCGGAGCATGTCAATTGGATGGCTTGAGAAGTGCTTGCCATTAAAATAAAAACATGGAAAAAAACATGAAAAAACAACTGTCCAGTTCCAAACAAATTTTATATATCATAGATGATATATATAATTCATATAGATAATTCATAGATTATTATCAGCCGCCACCAGTCCATCACCCAGTACCAGGATGGCACCGATGTGTGGCTTTCTGCTCAGCTCACTCCTCGCTTTCGGTTGCTAGCTCGCGCAGGCTGGGCGCGAACCTGCGCGACTCGTTCGGGAAAACACCACGAAAAACGTGCAAGCAAATCATCATGATGATATATGAACATGATTAAATATGTATATATAATTAGTATGGATATGCATGTATAGCATTGTCATGTAACCAACATTCATATGGCATAGTATGGCAATTAGAGCAACAGTGCAATATATCAGTGAAGATTAGTGGGCTTGCTGTCGGTGGCTTCCACTCATTGGTTGATAGGACCTGTGTGGTGACACCTTGCAGACTCCCAAAAAAATGTCCTTGTGATAAGATGGTTCAGGGGAGTCCTCCTTTTTCACAGACTCATCCTTGAGACTGTTTGTCAAACGGGTATTTGGTTGATTACCATCAACATTGTTCATCATACTCTATAACAACCTGCTGATGATGATCTCCGGTACCATATGGTATCATCTTTGGTAAATATCATCTATAGACAAATAGTTAGTACAACAATACAGACTATACAAATAAATACAAATAAATAGTGGTTAATCTCATCCGAGATATATCTGGATATATCATCTAAAAATGAATAGTTGGTAATTGGTAACATCTAGTCATGGAAACCCATCATTCTGGCGCTTGCAGCGGCTAAGGACGGCACGAACAGAGCAGGATGATGGCAGCAGCAGTGATGGCCCTAGGCAACGCTCAAGGCATCTGTACCTTTTTTGGGGAACATAAATCCTTGGAAAAGGTGGGAAACTGTGCAAGGTTTAATCTAATTACATACATTAAAATGTAACATGTTGATGAACCTATGATGTTGAATATGTAATGACAACATATGAGACAATGATCCTTGGTTTTTGTTGATGGGAAATACATGGAAAACAACACACCATTAAGATTTTTTCTACCAACAAAAAAACACCATATGCGACGTATGCGATATGTGTTTCCTTTAAATGTGCCCTTTAAACAATCCATTTGTCATATTTGTAGATGTACTATGATCATGTTCATTTGACATTGAGCATTGGAACAGTCATGTAGTAAGTACTGGTGAGTCTGATACAGTGGCAACAAAGTCTGCGTTCCCAGGCTGGAGGGTTGCACGACATTTCAGGGTGACTTCTTGCAATGTTTCAGCAAGCAAATGTGTTTGTAGTATTCCTTACAGCATGAAAGCACCTTCAAAAGCAATGTGTGTTCAGTTTCCATACTTGGAACATGACATCTTTTTTGGGGTTCGGTACCCAACTGCAACCCCCTCTATATCCGGGAAAACGAATCCCGAAAACAGAGCCGCTCCCACTCGTGCCCAGAGCCATCCACCAAACTTTGAAAAGTGATGTTTGGTACAATAACCACTGTCGCTGCCCCCAGAATGCCAGAAGATTACGGCAAGTAGAAGTACCATGGAAGTACCATTGATTAGCGGTTTCAAGCCCTGAAACCTAAAAATCCATATAATGATACAGTTCTCGGAGGATGGCACATTAAAACAAAACTGAACACCACCCACATCAGCCATGAATTTCGGCCCCACATCATCCTGACGTTTGGTGCCCATTTCGGTGCCCAGGGGCTGCAGGCCCAGCTTTTCGTTTAAGAAGATCACGGACAGGAAGGTACCCCACAAAGGGATGGTGCAATAGATCAGCGAGGCCACAGCCTCAGCACAAAAAAACCCGGGTGGATTGGTGGATCACCGGAAAAGTGCCCCACTGGTCATAAAAATGGATCACGAGGCAACCATTGGATACCATTGGATGTCTTGGGGCACCTGGTTACAAGCCCACTTTTTTGATGGCAATTGGGACCCCAGAAAGCTGGAATCTTCAGACCCAGCCCAGGATCGAAGATTCTGGGCCCCCTAACTGGGCCCACATAGTTGAAGGCGAAAAGCTCAACAACTGCAGGGAGTCCTGCCGTGCCATCGGTGGGTTGTGATGTGACAGTGATCTAGTTTGACCAAAAGGTGGATGGACACCTATTTTCCAATGCCCCTTAAACCAAGGTGTGTTTTCCAGCTTTGAGAGGAAAGGATTACTCTATATATCCACATGCTAATCAACAACACAATTGTTTGTTTAGATGGCACGGCATTTTGTATACTTTATGTTTGGATGCGATCACCATACGCCTGTGGGTCAAACCTTGCACGCTTGGTAAATATAGAAATAGTTGGTAAACTTGATGTTGATGTTCATCTTCATCCTCATAAAAATGAACGAATACCATCCGCAACATACTCGAACATGGCACTGGACAATCCCTAATTAAGTTCAATGTGTTTCCCATTAAAACCTACAGTTTGCTCGGAGACTTCCTGATTTCCCTGGATTTCCCATTGCCATGTTTGATTGCCGAAAGGTATGTCATTCATCATGCAACTGAACAACAACTACACCCCGAAAACAAATCCATCATACCTAGATGTGAATCGTAGTTACCATTTTTCAGACAATATTTTCAGGGGATATTCCCTTAGGCCTTATATAATTAGGCCTTAAAAAAATGGTAGGTACCTCCAGTCAATCGGTTCGGTGGATTCAGTGGATTCGGATCCCTTAAAAACTGCCGATTTTTCGGTCGGCCTGTGCAAAGGACTCCGCAGACGAGGATTTCCCTGGCGCCAAGCGTGGGGTATCAAGGTAGCCACAGGTATCATTTGGTCATTTACAACATATATCTGTATATATATATAAGATTATATATGTATATTATAGATGTATTATTATATTATATGATATATATATATGGGTATGGATCAATACCTATTAATACCATTTTTAGTGGGATGAACATCCATTTACCAGCTATTTTGATCTTCACCAGGGGTACAAGGTTTTGACACACTGCCATATATATATATTTATATACTGTACAATTTGATAACATAAGCACACATTTAAGGTATCGTTTTCGAGGTATCAATTGGTCGTGTAGGTTGTTCATTATTAGTTATTCGTATTCAATGTACGTTAATCCTGAATTGTTAAACCACCCAAGTTCTGCTTAGATGATCTTAGATGCACGTTCATGTTGCTCATATCCCTAGTTCGATTGCTTAGAACATGATGGTTGCACCATGGGGATGAAGCAAGTGGTTGGTATGTGTAGTATCCCCCATGTCAACAAACGTGGGAAGTCCATGATGCCCCTGTTCCTCAATCAAACCACGACCTTATCTTCAAGGTGATCAATCTGCTTTCCAAGCACCGTTTCAGAGGCTCAAAACCCCAGCGATATTTGTACATACTGAATATATCATCATTCTGGTCGCTTTAAATGTGATTAAATGTCAATCTTCAAAGGTAAAACACCAACTCTTTTTTCCAAAGCTGGAAACGTTAGTGTTTCGTTTCACAGATTCCACATAAATCCACACTTTTCATATCTTTTGATCCTTTTCTCCCATGAGAACAGCTGATAAAGCTGATACTTCTCCCAACGTTGGCCCAGTCGCATTGTCTTGGCCGAGTCGCTCCCAAATCCTGGGCTGCAGCCGCCCAGCAATGCGCAACTGCTCGGCCGTGCTGTAGGGACCTGATCCCGGGTTGATTAATTGTGGTGGTTCCCCCAAATAGTGATAAATGGCTACTGAAATGACCCCGCTCATTAAACAGCCTGGGGGTTTCTTCATCCAGGATTGACATTTGTGTTTAAAGCCCTCTGTTGTTCCATTAGATTCCATTCGACTGGTTGGCCAAGATGGAGTGAACGTAGGCAAAGACAGAGGTTGGTTAATCGCTGCTAGTGGCTGGTTCACCGATGAATACTGTACTGGTCGGTGAAAAGGAAATCCCATTTCATGGGTGATGAGAATTGCCAATGTATTGCATATAATATCATATAATCATGTAAAAAAATATTGTATAATCCCCATAGTAAGTAATCAACAAGGGGATACATGGGGTATCTTTCATGCTTCAAACGGGTTCGTCAGAAAATATAGGGCTATCCTTGGTATGAAAGATGATACAATGGGGACGTGATGGTATATAGTGGGGGATATGGTCGAAAATATGATATGGGTTTGTGCAACATTTGGGTATAAACAGGCATACAACCTTGTAGGTATAGAAGGGGATATGATGGGATATATAACCAAACATGTGAAGGTTTGGTGACTGAAAAAAATATAGTTAAATGAGGAATATGATGTTCCCAACCATCAAATGGAATGGAGAAGGATATATAACTTCAGATAGACCGAACCAAGAATATCGGAATCTGTAGACGGTGATCGGTCAGTAGCTGCAGGATCATCTGGATATATCTATACCCTGGTGCGAAAACTAGAGCACTAACGTGTTGACCCAAAGTGTCCCCAGTTTCTCTTGCTTCTTGAGGATTAAAATACAACTATTTCTTGATTTAACTTCCAGATTTCCCCATTTCTTTTAAGTGTTTGAGGATTAAACCCGGAAAACAAAAACAACTCCAAATTTCCCCATGACTTTACAATGTCAGTTACCATGTTTTTCTCCGACAAATTTTTGCGGTCGATTCCGCTGACTTTGGGGGACGTCACTGTTAGGTCTGAATTGAACATTTTTTTTTTTTCATATCCTAGTGCTCCCCATAGTTAAAACTCCCTGGAAGTAAAACTGTATGTTATTAATTAGTACAAGATAGTACAAGTGCGACATTTGTTATACAGGAGATGTCCGCGCACACCCGGACCTGGAATCTGAAAGCAGCACTTGGACCAAAACCATGCAAAGTTAATCAACAATATCGACATACGAACGTAAATCAACATGTGCTCGCCGAAGAGGTTCCTAAAAATACCAATGAATCAAATTCCTTCACTAAGAAGTCAGTTGTCCAATCATGTCCAATCTGTAGCGTCGCCCCAATACAAACATCAATTAAAAAACGCTTGGCGAAGAAGTTCCCTGATAAGCGCCTTTCTTTGAAATTAAATTCAACCAAGGTCAAACACAATTTGCTGCCTGAAAAGATACCCTAATCAGGACTAAAGTATCTACTGATTCACATTCATTTTGTGTCAACCTAATTTAAAGCCTGACACGCGTGGTCTCTTTTATTATTTCACCATGTTACCAACTAGGGTCAAAAATGACATTAGCCAGGACTCAGTTTGAAATATCTGATGGAAAACTTGAAAATGGCAAAAACCATTACCAGAAAATATATGTTTTCTATTTATTAACTAAAAATTTTTGAATGAAACCCATGCATAGTTATAACCACGTATAGTCATACAGATAGTTTACTACAATAAGCACAGAAAAAACATACAGCGACTTACTTTATGCTCCACATAAATAATTATATCTCTGTGATTTACCTTGAACATAGCTATGTACGTTCTGTTCTGCAAAAAAACATGTACCCAACATGCATTGTTCACATTCCAAATGCCCACGCGAGCAAGAAGCGTTAATCCATTTTCATAGTTAGGTAGAAAGATTTTAAAACCCCAAGACCCTCAAAGTCAGGATCCTAGATCATTTGCCATGGCGGCTGGTACAGGTTAAATTTCACATTGGGAAACGATCATGCAGCAGGGAATCATGGGTAGTCATGCAACACCAGATTTATGGATTTCCGCCGAAAAAAATCCAAGATCAGCAGAACTCAGGCGCACATTTTGTGATGTTGAATTCGCCCATTTTTCCAGCAGAAATCCTAGGGAAAACCATACTAAGTTCCGCCGAGATTTTTTAAGCAAAGTCAGGTACACAATTTGTGTAGTGGAGTTCCGCTGAAAAAGAAAAAACCAAAGTCCGTAAAAAAAAATGCAACCGATTCGGGGGCACAGGATCTCAATTTTCCGCCGAAAAAAAATCAGCAGATCTCATGCCCCATAATCGGCCGCAACGGAAAAAAGGTCCACAAAATCCGCAGAGATTTGTTTGGCAACTAAATCTGAGACTTCAATGCAAAGTTCTGAGCCCTAGACCCTACCTTACTTATTGGCCATGGGTGGCACATGTGATCGGGAGGAACTTGCCTGGGTAACCCTTGGAAAATCGTGTGGACTTGGTGATGGGCAATACAACCACATTACCATGGTCTGGCCCCATGCTTTTTAAAAGCTCCAATGGACAGAGGGTTTAATTTAAGTGTTCCCTTCCCCCGCCCCCTAATTAATGCTCAATCCACCCAAATAGTCAAACGCATGTTAAAGCATGTTAAAGCTAGGTAAAGAAAAATCAATTCTAATTATAGTACAAGTGCGACATTTGTTATACAGGAGATGTCCGCGCACACCCGGACCTGGAATCTGAAAGCAGCACTTGGACCAAAACCATGCAAAGTTAATCAGCAGTATCGACAAAAGAACGTAAATCAACATGTGCTCGCCGAAGAGGTTCCTAAAAATACTAATGAATCAAATTCCTTCACTAAGAAGTCAATTGTCCAATCATGTCCAATCTGTAGCGTCGCCCCAATACAAACATCAATTAAAAAACGCTTGGCGAAGAAGTTCCCTGATAAGCGCCTTTCTTTGAAATTATATTCAACCAAGGTCAAGCACAATTTGCTGCCTGAAAAGATACCCTAATCAGGACCAAAGTATCTACTAAAAACTTTACATATATGATTCACATTCATTTTGTATCAGCCGAATCCAAGCCTCAACCACATGGCATCTTTTATTGTTGAAGTCCAAGGCCACCATTTCAAGCCAGGTCGCCATTTAAGGTCAATAGTAAAGTTGTAGTAAATTTTATTTTGAAATAATAAGGGGAAAACCTTGAAAATTGTGAAAGCAACTGCTGGCAAATAGTTTCTATTAACTTCAGGAAACTTACCAATGAAGGGGTGAAAGGGAACTACCCACTAAATCAAACTTCAATTTGGATGATCTATGACCCATGATCTAAATCCTGAGACCCCAATTCGATTGCAAAAGTTTGTCTCACTTTTTGAAGGCTTCCCGAAATAGTTCAACCGTTAAACCCACCGGGAATCCTGTGGGCCCCGCGCTGTCGATGGCACTGGCCACGATGCAAATCACCGCAGCAGCCGCCAGCTGCACCGCTGCCAGTCCCACGGCGAAGTCGGTGCCCGAGACGCGACCCGTAGGATCACCTGTAGAGGCCGTTGGAACGACAGACTTCACCAACAAATGGTGACTGAACCATCAAAAATAGTGACTTAACCATCAAAAATGGGGGTTTCACCATCAACAAATTGGGGCTTCACCATCAACAAATGGGGACTTCACCATGAACTAATGATTTTTTGAACCAAAAATCACTAGGGACTTGCCCAACATGGGTAAATATTTCTACCTTCACCAACAAGAATGGGGACTGGGCCAAGAACAAAACTGAACTTCTTAATCCACAAGAATGGCGCGTAGCCATCAAAAATAGGTACTCGACCATCAAGAATGGGAACGTAACATAATATAACCATCACAAATAGGACTTAACCATCAAAAATGAGGACTTAACATTAACCATCGAAAACGATGACTTAACCATCAAACATATTCATACATGGGAACTTAACCATCAAGCATTGTGACTTCACCATCAACGATGGTGCTTGAACCAACAAGAATGGGAACTTAACCATCAAAGACAAAGGTGGTGCTCTAACCAACAATAATGGAGACGTCACCGTAAAAAATGATGATAAAACCACAAGAACTTGGGAATGGAAATGGGTTGTTAATGGTTGATTTACACAGCTCTCAATGGAAATATCACCAAACTGCGAAATCTAGCATTTAATGCGTGATGATTATTGGGATATTTTAGGTATGGAATATTTGGGATATGTACATATATACAGAAAATATGTATGCATGGAATGTAATGTAATGTAATGTCATGTCATGTAATGTATGTAATGGTAATGTAATGGTAATGTAATGGTAATGTAATGTAATGTCATGTATGGTATGGTATGGTATGGTATGTGTGTATGTATGTATATCAAACAAGATTGGTGACGTAATTGGGAATAAATACTATAAATATAATATTGAGATTGGGAAATTTGACCATAAAAACATCTTGATTTAAGCAACAAACATGGTGGTATGGGAATATAGTGGGATATGATCATAGGATACCAACCATCAAAATTGGGATTGTGGGAGTTAGCGCTTACCATGGGCAAAGTGGAAAGCTAATCATGTATAGTTGAATAAATATTGCAAATCAACAAATTACATCATATAATCTCACATTTCAATAGTGCCGCACAAGGCGGTGGCGGAAGCTTCAAAAATAGGAAACCTATAGGAAGGGTTGGTTGTTGTGACTCACGGGTGGCAGAGCGAAAGGTGGTTGGAGTTGTGTTTTCTAGGGTGGTTGCAATGGTTGCAGTGGTCACCTCGCCACAACTGCTGGATGTAGCGTGGTGTAGTGCAGTTGTAGTTGTAGTTGTAGGTGTAGTTGTAGTTGTAGTGTAGTGGAGTTGTAGTTGTAAGTTGTAGTTGTACTGTAGTGCAGTTGCAGTTATAGTTGTGGTGTGGTGTAATTAGTGTAGTGTACTGTAGTGTACTGTAGTGTGGTGTACTGTAGCGTGGCATAGTGTAGTGTAGTCTAGTGTATTGTAGTGTAAAGTAGTGTAGTTGTAGTTGTAGTGTAGTGTCGTGTAGTGTCGTGTAGTGCATTGTAGTGGTAGTTTCAGTTGTAGTGCAATGTAATTAGTGTAGTGTAGTGTAGTTGTAGTTGAATTTGCAGCTGTAATGTGCTGCAGTTCAATTAGTGTATTGTAGTGTAATGTAGTGTAGCTGTCATTGTAGTTGTAGCTGTGGTGGTGGTGGCGGTTGTGGTGGTGGTGGTAGTGGTAGTGGTAGCGGTAGTGGTAGTGGTGGTGGTGGTGGTGGTGTGGTGGTGGTGGTGGTGGTGGTAGTAGTAGTAGTAGTAGTTGCAGTGTAATTAGTGCAGTGTAGTGTAGTGTAATTAGATGTAATTAGTGTAGTGTTGTGTAATGTAGCGTAATATATTTGTACTTGTAGTTGTAGTTGTCTATGTATCTGTCTATCTGCAAGCTTGAAAACGAATCTATTCTGCGAGACTTCCTCAGTTTTTGAACTTGGCAACATCAACCATGCACTAATTCTGCGAGACTTCCTTAATTTTTGAACTTGACAACGTCAAAAACGAAACAATTCTGCGAGACTTCCTCATTTTTCGAAGTTGACAACATCAAAAACGAACCAATTCTGCGAGACTTCTTTCAATTCAAAAATGGAAGGTATAAGTTGAGTGCAGAGCTGACGGCCTCGTGCCAATGCGTTTTGTGATTTTTCCAGTCCATGTTTCTAAAGTATTGCGCCTGCCACGCAAAAGTGATGCCAGGTCATAGGAGGTCGAAGTGCTGCGCCTGTCACGCAAAATCATCTCAGCAAACCTGAAGATCGGATGCTCCAAAATGCAGCCCCTCTCATGAAATCAGCGCCCGGACCTCCTAACATCTCTGATGAACATGTTTCTGGTACTGAGCCTGCTTCGGAAAATGTATCTTTGCAGATCCCCTTCACATGTCCCACGCCTGCCATCGTTTCTGGAAATGCTACAAAGCCCTCACGTTTTGCTCACTTTACTTTTGACACGGTGCACAATCCCTTGCGCCTGCCATGCGAAACGACATCTGAACGTCCAAAAGTGCTCCGAACCTATGAGTTTTCTACACTTTTGACTTGGAAATGTGCTTCACGCCACAACGGCGTGCACTTTTTCGACATGTCAACTTGCAAAAGCGGTCCGACACTGAGGTGTTTTGCACATTTTGACTTGGAAATGTGCTTCGCGCAACTACCACGTGCCCTTTTCAAATATCTCAACTTCCAAAAGTGCTCTGAACGTGGTGTGCTTTCTACATTTTGACTTGGAAATGTGCTTCGCGCCTCAACTGCTTGCACTTTTTTGACATCTCAACTTCCAAAAGTGCTCCGAGCATGAGGTGCTTTGTGCATTTTGACTTGGAGATGTGATGACATGTGCTTCGCGCCACAATGGCGTGCAACTTTTCATCTCTCATCTGACCACATGGCTCCGCACCCGCCGCTTTAGCGAGCCTACTTTTCGACCCTCCGGGGACTCCGGAGCCACAAATCATTGGAAAAACAGAGTGTTTCGCGACTTCCCTACCTTTTCGCGCACCTGGATCTTCTTTCTTCTGAGACTTTATCTTTTTTGATCTTCTTTCTTCTTCTCTTCTCTTCTCTTCTCTGACTCTTCCCATCTCTGCTTTTCATCTGTCCATATTGTCGGAAGTTTGACTTCTAAACTTCCTTCGATCATTATATATATATATATAGATTTGAATATTATATAATTGTGGTTCATATTCACAGTATGTGCATCGTCGATGAATGCGTTTATTTGTAATAGCAGTACTAACCCCTATACATCGGGGGATGGTCATTACCTTTTATGGATCAATATACAATGTTTACACACACACACATATATATACATACGATATGTATACATACGAGTGTATAAATATATATATATATAATATATACATATTGTGAACGGGAGGTTACAATGCATTGTTAACTTAGTTGCTCTTGTTGGGTTGTATACAGGGTTAAACTGGGTAACCCATAGGGTTTATACATATATTATCGAAGGAAGTTTAGAAGTCAAACTTCCGACAATATGGACAGATGAAAAGCAGAGTAGGGAAGAGGCAGAGAGAAGAGAAAGATTAGAAGAGAGAAGAGTAGAAGAGAAAGAGTCAGAAGAAAGAAGATGCAGATGCGTGAAAAGGTAGGAAAGTCGCGAAACACTGTGTTTTTCCAATGATTTGAGGCTCCGGAGGGTCGAAAAGTAGGCTCGCTAAAGCGGCGGGTACGGAGCCAGCTGGCCAGATGAGAGATGAAAAAGTGCACGCCGTTGTGGCGCGAAGCACATTTCCAAGCCAAAATGCACAAAACACACCAGGTCCGGACCACTTTTGGCAGTTGAGATGTCGAAAAAGCGCACGCCGTTGTGGCGCGAAGCACATTTCCAAGTCAAAATGCACAAAACACAGCAGGTTCGGACCACTTTTGGCAGTTGAGATGTCGAAAAAGTGCATGCCGTTGTGGCGCGAAGCACATTTCCAAGTCAAAATGTACAAAACACACCAGGTTCGGACCACTTTTGGAAGTTCAGATGTCGAAAAAGTGCACGCCGTTGTGGCGCTAAGCACATTTCCAAGTCAAAATGTACAAAACACCACATGTTCGCGCCACTTTTGGAGGTTCGGATGTTGAAAAAGTGCACGCCGTTGTGGCGCGAAGCACATTTCGAAGTGAAAATGTACAAAACACTAGGGGTTCGGATCACTTTTGGAGGTTCAGATGTCGCTTCGCCGCTTCGCTTCACTACACTACACTACGTTACATTACACCACACTCCACTATACTACACTACATTACACTACACTACACTCCACAACACTACAACTACAACTACACAACTAGACTACACTCCACTACACTCCACTACATTAAATTTCACTACCCTACATTACACTACACTACGCTCCACTACACTACACTACACTACATTAAATTACACTACACGCCACTACACTACATTACACTACACTACGCTTCACAACACTACGCTCCACAACACTACAACTACAACTACACAACTACACTCCACTACACTCCACTACACTAAATTACACTACACTACACTACATTACACTACTCCACTACACTACGCTACACTACACTCCACTACACTACATTACACTACACTACCTTCCACTACGCTTCACTACATTACACTACACTACACTACAACTACAACTACGACTACACAACTACGTTACACTCCACTACACGCAATTACACTACACTACACCACATTAACACTACACTACACTACATTCCACTACACTCCACTACACTACACTACATTACACTACACTACAATACACTGAATGACACTGCACCACAGATAGACAGGTAGACAGGTAGACAGATAGACAGACAGACAGACAGACAGATAGACAGCTAGACAGCTAGACAGATAGACAGATGAAAGAGAGAGAGAGAGATAGATAGATAGATAGATAGATAGATAGATAGATAGATAAGAGAGAAAGAGAGAAAGAAAGAAAGAAAGAAAGAAAGAAAGAAAGAAAGAACGAAAGAAAGAACGAAAGAAAGAAAGAAAGAACGAACGAAAGAAAGAAAGAAAGAAAGAAATATAGATAGATAGATAGATAGATAGGATGGATGGATGGATGGATAGATAGATAGATAGATAGATAGATAGGTAGATAGGTAGATAGGTAGATAGGTAGATAGGTAATTAGATGAAAGAGAGAAAGAGAGAGATACATAGCTAGATAGATAGATAGATAGATAGATAGATAGATACATAGATACATAGAAGATAGATAGGTAGGTAGATAGTCAGAGAAAGAGAGAGACAGAGAGGAGACCACAAGCACCTTTCAGTCCATCAGTGGATTCGCTTTGCCATCCCTGATTCACAACAATCAACCTCTCCTATAGGTTTCCTATTTTTGAAACTTCCGCCACCGCCTTGTGCGGTACTACTGGTATATAAATCTCTCTTCAATTTTACTGTATTGTATACATACACGTAATATTCGTGCACATGTATACTTGTGGGGTTGGAAATGGACATTGATGGAACATGGGAGTTCTTTGTGGCTATGATGCTAAAGTAAAGTCTAAATGGGGGTTGCGAATGGTTGCCAACGCTTCCAAATGTGGCTGAGATAGTGGAAATTGGAGGTTGCACCACTTGCAAGAAAAGGGGATTTCAACTATTGCGACTGGTGGGCATGGAGATGTATGGAATCCCGAAAATTATACTGGGATGATCTGGGATGTAACCTCTCAGAAAATCTATCAAGGTTTAATCAATTCCTGAATGGGATAGGCCTATCTAGCCTGACGGTCCAATTTCTGAGTCGTGGTCTAGGGGAAAATCTACAAGAAGCACCTGGAAAAAAAGAGCTAAAAGCATGGTTTCCTGTAGAATTTCCCTGATATCAACCCTGTAAAGGTTAGTGCTGCAGGACCTACGAGGCGATTTCATCCCAACCCCCTGGCCTTCCTCAATCAAACGATTGCTACGGTATACGTGCACCGCAAATAAAAAGGCACCTGCCAAGTGGAAGATGAGCGGACCCCACAATTTCCAACGAGGGATCCTTGAAATTTGCACATATCAATCCCTTTTGGATTGCAAGTTGGGTCCTACGACCATCACACAGCTGTTTCGATATCCTGAACCGCGACTGAGTAGGACTTAGTAGGACTTTCGATATCCGGAACAGCTGGCCATGACTTGCCCAATAATCACCCATTGAACCCCCCAGTTAAAAACAAAGTAGAAATGATAATCCCTATCAACCCATGATAATCATTGATAATCCCTACTTAAAACTGGTTTAACAATTTAAACAACATTCGAAACACATTTGATCCTCATGGTGAAGTTGCCCGCCTGTGATGGCAAGGGCTTCTCCGGGAACTCCTTTCAAGATGGCCTCCAGGGCCAGGCTGCCAGGGACTGGGAATGTGTTGCAAGATTGAAGAAACATGGGGCGGACAACCAATATATGATCTGTATGATATATATATATATATGTATTATGATATATTATGTCAACTGTACTGTACCTTTTAAATTATTTGACAAAAAAATCTAGCAAGATGCGTGCAAGTCGAAGCAGTGAAAGTTGAAGATTAGTTGGAGAATCTGCCGCCCCCCCCTTATGCGGGGACCATTGATATGTATCCATGTGTCCTTGGTTTCTCAAACCCTCAAATGTCTGGAAACCGATGATTATCAAGCACCCTCCAAGGATGGCTGTCATGGAGTTTTTGCCCTGCAACCCAAGCCCAGCATCTTCAAACTAAACACTCATAGAATCTTGTCATGGGATAGGTCAAATACATTTAAATACAGGTGTCTCTGATAATAGGATATGCCATGCTCAAATCCCAAGGTTTATCACCATTTTCCGCATCTTGCAGCTGTTTTTTTGGGGATCCCATGGTCTCCTCATGGGACAAGGGCCCTCCTTGCGGCGCAATCATCTTCAGGATGTTCCAAAACCTGCCATTGGGAAGGGCCCAAGGGAACTGCATCCTGAATAGAACATGGACCAACACGCATTAGGGGGGTGGAAGTATCTTTTAACATGGGGATGATCCGTCCTCAATGGAATTGTCCCAATCAGTAGATGATCCCATCACTCGTTCATGTTAACCGCCACCATTGTATGGCACCAAATAATTCAAATACAGTATGTCTATTGCAATCCCCCACGCAATGGTTTAAATTGTGGGCGTTCAATATTGGGGGGGAGTATGGGTGCAAATTGGGGTATCAATGGAACATGCGAGTTGCGGTTTGAGTATTTAATCATTCAATTTGGGTATATAGTTGATTATTTTGACCCATGCTCATACAGCCATGCCATGCAATATCCATACCAGCAATGTTTCTCCAGAAACGGACCAATTTCATGTTTGGAATGATGTTAAACCTTTTTAGCTTCATTCTTGCTTGGACTAGGTAAAGTTTGACATACTGTATGGGTTTCGAACTTTAGTCAATTAGCCATCGTGGGAATCCACTGTAAGCTGTGATGGATTTGAGTAGCTCGAAAATACCTGACTAGGATGCTTTGATATTCAATGCCTATCAATGCCTATTGTTTTTACCCCACACAGCTGTGCAGATTCACACACTTACACACACTCGTCGGGATTCGGATGCTGGCTCTCACTGTCATTCCCAATATCTATGAATATCTATGACACAATCAACTTAGGGATACTTATGGGAAATTATAGTGAAAACCAGGGTTCCCTTCTCCCTTTCAACTTTTCAGCCCTTTGATAAAGAACCAACCGGCCCAGTTTGCCCACCTTTCGAAGAGGCTTTCCTGTAACTTTGGAACCGGACCGAGCACTGAAAAGCAAGCACAGGCTGACAGGTGTGAGTTGGTAAACATGATATGAAACCATGGTAAATTTTCATAGAACAATGGCTGGGTTGGGGGAAATTTCAGGAAACCAATCGGTTTGGATGAACCACAATCAGAGGTAGGCTTTGCCGTTTTCCTCCAGAGTTTTCCTTCGAATGCTGGGAAAATACTGATTGGTGGTTCCCATCCCCCAAAACAACAAAACAGGGCTGATTATGTCAACTAGTGATGGAAACCAATCGGTGAACCTATCACCTGCGCCAAAAACATCAACGGCGTCATAGATGACTTCTTCAAATTACATGAAATATATACTATTCATATGACTCAAAAAAAGGTACAAGTAGCAAAAGGGTGCTAAATCTGTTTCTTCCCGTTTCATTTTTTTGAGCCGTTATTCAAATTTTCGGAGTCAACCATTTTGACACATAGCCAATTTTGGATCGCTTCGACTAATTAAACCAAACTCGTTCAAATTTGTTGTTGCTTCAACACATGTTTTTTGGGCTCATCTTGGCGTTCTCGTGGGTCAACGGTCAAAACTTATAATTTCATATAATTTCTGTTTGGCCTAATTCCCTTTGATATCTAGCTGTTGTATGTTGTATTCCCACCAATATCAACGTTATTGATCCTGACCTTGTGTAGTTGAGCAACATACAAATTTATGTTGTTTTTTTCATATCTATTCCATGTTGGATGCCTACCATCTTTTTCTTGGATACAGAAATCCCCAAAAAAACAATCAGAAAAGAGTCAATTGACCATTTGTTTCTAGAAATTCGTTGTTTTCCTGATTTTCCATTGATTTTCCTAAAAACCATCCTGAAAACTGATGGTGACCCATCCGCATCGCCACGTCCTCGGCTAAACTCGGTGCTGAGACGAAGAGGGCAATACCTGGACCAACGGGGTTAGGCTAGCACCAGTAGTAATGAAAGAATATCACTGGGATAGATAGATAGATATATATATAAATAAATAGATTGTAAATAATTATTAGCAATTAAAAAAATGAAAAATAATTAAAAAAAACTAAAACTAACTATAAATAATTAAAACACCTAAAGCTAACTATAAATAATTAAATAAAAGTCCAAAAATTCAATACAATCAATTATGTATATGTATAAAACTTATATAAATATTATATATACATGTACCAATGTATCTGTATGTATATATATATATATCACATCCCATTCCTGCATTTCTGAAATTTGCCATTTGGGGGCAATAAAAATAACACTCTAAATGGATGTTACGACTACCGCATGATGACCCAAAACAACAGACAAAATAAACAGCAGCAGCAGCAACAACGACAACAACAACACCAACAACAACAACCACCACAACAACAACAACCACAACAACCAACAACCAACAACCAACAACCAACCACCAACCACCAACCACCACCGCCACCGCCACCAACAACCAACAGCCAACAACCAACAACCAACAACCAATAACAACACCAACAACCAACAACCAACAACCAACAACCAACAACAACCAACAACCAACAACAACAACAATAACCGATAACCAACCACCACCACCACCACCACCAACAACAACAACAACAAAAACCAAAAACCAACAACCACAAGCAACAACTATTAAACACAAACAACAAACAACAACCAATAATAAACAACAACAACAACAACAACAACAGGATCATGTAAGCAAAGAACAGTTGTGGCCGAATCCCCTTTCTAAAAACACGTATTTTGAGAGAACAAACTTCCCACCTGCAAAGGTTCCAGCAGAGCAGAGGGCCACGAATGGAGAGAACTGTTTGCCATCCACCACCAATTCCAAGATCTGGCAGCGGTGATTCCCAAACGGGGAATGCAAGCAAAAGACGTTGGTAATTACAACTACTAGCGAACCATATGGGGTTGTATAGAGCCAACACAAACCAACATTGGGCCACAATGAGCAAAAATTAGGATGTATGATGGATATAGCGCACCGACATTTGCATAGAAACACCTCCTGAACGCATCTGCTCTGGTGATGATTCAAGTGGTGAAGAATAGTTTTAGGTAATTTTTCGATATTTTTTCCTGGTACCATTTGCATTGTATTTGCAACAATTCGGAAGTAGAACCTGTCATTTTGCACGGTATTTGCATATGTTTGCTACGTTTTGGCACGTTTACTTTCCACATTGCACGCTATGTGCTGCAAGGTGTTTGCTATATTTGTAGCACTTCAACCTCTAGTTTAGCATGGTATTTGCTACATATTGGTACTTCAAATGTAAAGTGGGTTTCTTTAGGGTTTCATTTACGATTTCTTTAGGGTTTCATTTGGGGTTTCTTATTAGGATCTCTTTAGGATGTATTTGGGTTTCATCTGGGGTTTCTCTAGGGTTTCATTTAGCATACAAACAGGAGAGAAAAACACAGAGACAGTAAAGGAAGGAAACGGAGAAGCAGTAAAAAAAAGCGGAAAAGCAGAAAAGAGAGAAGCAAGAAAAGCAGAGAAGCAAAGAAGCACAAAAGCAGAGAGAGAGAAGCAGGAAAAACAAAAACAAAAAAGAAAAGCAAGGAACACAAAAAAATGGAGAAACAGAAAAGCAAAAAAATGGAAAACAAAAACATAAAATCAGAAAACAGAGAAGCAGGAAACGCAAAAACGCAGAAACAGAAAGCAAAGAAGTAGAAAAACAGAGAAGCAGGAACAGCAAGCAGGAATCCAAAAAGAAAAAATAAACATTCTTGAACAAAAATAATCTAAAATAAATACCAACCCTTTGTCAAATCCCCAACTGAACTTAATTCAGACATTTGCACCAAACCATCTGCGGAAAGAAATGATCACACACATCCTGTCTGAATTAAAGTACTTCACCCGTCTGATAACGATATCTTTTGGCACTAATTTCATATATACACAGAAAGAGATAGTACTGATTACATAATATTCCATCTATGTATCAAAAAAACATAGTATAGATCATCATGAATACACTACACGACATACTCATCATCATCATCATCATCACCATCATCACCATCATCATCATCATCATCAGCATCCCATCTCTATATTGCTAGGGTATCCAATATTCATCAATCATACACATTTAAACATTTCAATGGACACATTCCACGCGTGACTCATCCAAACATCAGCATAGCATCCCATCATTTAAAATAGCTACATATATATATATATATACATTTCAACTATGGCCTTTGGCTGACCATGGCTTCCCATCTTGCGAGTTCGGCCTGCACAAAGGGCCCCGTCAAGGCCGACGCCACCGCGCAGGTGGAGGCGGATGTCTTCTCTAGGCCCTGGCGCCGTGAAAATCTGATGGAAACACGACTGGCTTGCCATTGCCAGATGTGTATATGATCATGATGCATATACCGTCTACATAAATAAAAGCGTATATATGTTACATAGTCTGTGTGTATGAATGTATGTATATTTGTAATATATATATAATTGTAAAAAACATATAAATACCATATACCGTGTATTATAATATATATTATTAACATGTGATGGTATATATGTATATATATAATATGTGGATACATATTTATCACACCTACTTCCGCTTGATTTCTGACCAGCTATCAACCGCTCTTCAGATCTTCAGGAGTAATCTCACTAGGTCGTCACGATTCTGAGAAGAATCGTGATCTTCTTCGTGAATTGCAAGCAGTTGAAACCTTCATCTTTCAGGATTCATCCCAGGCGGAGCCAGGGAAATCAACGATGCACCCAGCCAGGTTTCTCGTCACAGCCAACAGGTCAGGAGTTCCAGGATTTGAAGCGCATAGCCTGGCCACGGGCCCTTCAGATCTCCCCGGAAAATGTGAAAACCCCATGATCAAAACATGCAAAACACCATGGTAAAAACCGTCAAGAAAACACATACACACATAATAAATAAGTGAACATGAGTCAATGAGCATCTCAACCAATCCCATCCCAGAAAATACTGGTTGGATTGTAAATAATCCTATGATGGGTTTATTCATAACCCCCACTAAACGTGCAACCAGGTAATATAGCCCCCAAAAATGTAACACATAGCACTCTACAATAATGAAGCAGTATAACCACCCATGCTATTGCCACAGGTGACAAGGCCTGCGAACAGCCAAATGGCCAGCTCAGTCGAAGGCACCAAGAGGGCTCCCACCTTGCAAGGACCGGGAAATCCTCGTCTTCCCGTTCGAATTCCCCATCGTTGCTGGTGAAGTCCTATAAGACATATCCAATCTTCAATACCCTGCAAAAAAATACTTTACTTCGAGTCATCCCCACCCTGACATATTATGCTGACATTCTTTGTGGCATTATATCTGGCATAGACTTTGTCTCAGAACGCAAGTATATTGAATATACCTAGATTCTCATCTCCGTTTTTTTACCGGCCTCAGAAGCCGGTATATTGAAGATAGCTGAATTCTCATCACCGTTTTTATGGCTTCTCAATGCTCTCAAAAGGCAGGTACATTGAATATATGAATATAGCTGGGTTCTCATCATCGTTTTTATGGCATCCTATCTGGCATTCTGCCTGGCATTTATTCTGACATTCTACCTGACATTCTTTCTGACATATTTCGACATTCTATCTGACATATATTCCAACATTCAAACTGGCATTCTGACATTCTTTCTGCCATTCTTTCTGGCATATATTCTGGCATTCTATCTGGCAATCTACCTGGCATCTATTCTGACATTCTATCTGGCACATGTTCTGACATTCTATCTGATCTGACATATATTGTGACATTCCTTCTGACATTCTTTCTGGCCTTCTGTCTGACATGTGTTCAGGTCCAAGCGTGCTGAGCTTGCGATGCGGTTCGGGTCCAGGTTCGGCCCACTGCATCCAGAGCTGGCAAAGGAGGAGGGATGAAGGAGTTGCACCTTTGTTTAAATCTAGATACCCTGACCTGGCAGGTGGGGAAAAAAACACGAAATTACCAACAGAAATAGGTACTTTTTTGACGGATGCACTAGCCACTTCCATCCTTGAGAGTATGCCTAAGTTCAGCATGCATAGGAAGAATGCTGTGGATGGAAACAACATCATTGGCTTATGGATTGCTTGCATTTACAGTAGATTGGCATGGGTCAACCATTGAGACCGAGGGATGTGGAGAGTTTGATCGTTTCAAGAATTTGTTGACATGCATTTACTATCGAAACTTCGGCATACCCCAATTTTGACTTACATACATATAAGATGTGGTACGAGATGATCGAATGCGCATCATGTGTATATTTGTTGATATCATTAATGAAATCATTGAAACACCTTTTAGTTAGTCTTCCCATCAAATTACGTAAACTCCAAAAAAAGCTACCATAAATAACATTTCATGGGTCGGGGATGGTCTGGGTAAATTGTAATTATTCACTACCGATCATTCCAGTGAGGTCGCAGTGAGCTTTGGGCTCAATTTACCCAGATGGGTGTATCCAACCCCTTGTAGATGAAGTATGATTAAGTGGGAGTCTGACGGGTTCCCATTTTATAGATACTACTACTATTCTTTCTACTACAGTGATGACCAGTTTCTGGGGTCCCCGCCTTTGTCCCACCTTGGTGCCCGCTGGGTCTCCGACTTTGCGCCAGTTGGTCGCCAGGAAAGGCAAAGAGACCACCTTCAAAATGATACCCCATGACTGCCTGTGGAACCTAAAATGGTGTTTTCTTAAGTCTTAACATGAAAAAAAAACAAAACCATGGGTTTCAATACTAAAATGGCCTAATTTTGAGTGATTCGGGCATACCTCCATTTTAGGACCTCCAGGACCTCCACCAAATCGCACAGGGAAATTCCCCAAGAACAGAGGTTTTAATATGTTTTCATGAGAAAACCCATGCCATTGCCATCATAGTGGATTTTCCATGTTGGGCCATGTTCGTTTAAAATTTGGGGAAGGATCCCATCCCCCGTTCATAGATCTAACGCCCAATTTTATGGTCCCAAATATGTGACTCCATCCTCAATGAAAGCATGGCATTTGGTGGATGATATAATTAATGGAACCTGCTTTATACAATGGGCCTTCATGCGTAATTGTGGTTCTTGGACAGTAGATCTTTTGTATCTGGAATTGATCTGGCAGCCCTGAGTCATGTGATCTAGTGTGAGACCCCAGATTGGCTGGTTCGCTTGGCCGCTTGTATGATTGGCGCATTCAAAATTTTGCATCATCCACACAATACTGGAATCTATGGGCCCCATGGGCTCAAAAAATCGGGCATAAAAGTGGGTCCCGAACTAGTATTGAATAATTTAAGGGTAAGTGCCAGTATTGTGTGGATGATGTGAACTATTATTAACCTCCAGGAGCCACAAAAAATCACAGGGCCAACCTTACATATTGGAAATATCCCCATGTCATGAATATACGTGACCTTTAATACTCGATTCATTTTTAAAATGCTATTCATGGCAAAGTTTGACCAGGCTCCAAACACCGCTACCAGGGGTGGCAAATGGGCTACAGTCTGTACAGAGTAAATTTCAATATCATGAAATCTCACGGTCAAATAGAAAGTCATTCACCATCCTTTACCCCCCGTTGTGGCTTTCCCGGCTTTCCCGGCTTTCCCCATCGCACCGTGGAAGATACGAAGCGCAGCGCCAGGAGTTCGGGTCCCGTGAGCTGCAGTGGTGCTTCCATCTCGACCCTAAAACTGCCAAAGTGCTCGGAGTTCTGGGATGATTTTGGTGAAAGTCGAAGTGAAAGTGGCAAAGATATCGTTAAAAACAGGCTTAATATATGTTAATATATGATAATATATGGTGAAAATTGATAATGAAATGATACTGATGTTGATCAAACCAGTGAACCTGATAATATGCTGGACTTGATCTATTAAATGATGTTGATCAAAGCAATAACACGTAATATATTGTTGAATACTGACAAGTCTTAGTTATCTTGATGATGTTGATAAAACGATGACAAAACCATAAACTACATTGGTTGATATAACATTAAAAACTATTCTAAGTTGATAATATGTTGATGTTTTTTTGGAGTAGACAATGTTGTTGGAGGTTTGGATGATGACCACTTCAGACCAGCAAGAACGGGCTTATTGGACCGACAATATTGGATTCACAGCATAGCGAAAGCTTCAAGACATGCCGTATCATACTGTACATTGTATATGTGCATACATTTAACGATATTGATGCATCTTAATGCATATGTTGTGCAACTTCGAACTCTGACTGACTCGACACCTTGGGCAATCGAGGAATTCCAGCGGCAAAACACCGGGTTTTGGTAGCCATGGCAAAACAGCAGTTCATCTCATGCAGCCAAGCAGCGTTTTCAGAAGTGGTACATTGCCACCTCAAAAAATTGGAGGATCCGACAGATCCCATCACTAACATGCTAACTGGTTTGCTATAACATGATCACAATGAAGTGCCCAAAAATCACCACATGAATATTTGTGACAAAGCAAAAAAGACTACAAGAGCCGCTCGTCAACCCCACATATGGAGAATTCCTAAAATGGAGGTACCCGAAAATCATCCATTTCTGTTTGGGAGTGTCCATTATAAACCATCCAATCTGTGGTATCTGGATGTATCTGGGGTACATCTCCAAGGTTGCAGCCGTAAAGGATTGCCAGAACAACGAGGATCAAAGGAGCTGTGGTCTGGCCGGACCGTTCCGTGTACCAGGGGTTACCAGGGGCTACCAGGGGTTACAAAATCCCATGATGTGGGTCCTGACTTCGGTGTCCTCACCTTTGGGGCTGTTCTGGAAACTGCTAGCGATCACATGATTGTTAAAATTAGATGCTTACTACTCGACCATCACCACATCACCATGATTCTCGGTGAACACTTGTACCTCCAGAATCTAGACGGCTTCATGTTAGAAAGAATGGCCAGTCAATCGTCAGTCAGGTCTGATTGAACATTTTGGAGAACTTAACACCTCCCCTCACATTTCAAGTGCGGATTTAAAGGACATTTTGCAGGAAACCATTTTTTACTTTAAATGTTTCTTACATGAAAAATATATGTTCATTGGTTTTCCTGAACTTTAATTACTTTTCCCTTCAACCACCGCCGCTGAAACGCGCAAGCTGTTTTGCTGGCTCAGCCACTTTTGCTTTGCGGCCTTGGAAGCAGCTGCCCAGGCTTGCAGTGACCGGTTGCTGACGTTTTTGAGGGGTGCAGTGTAGTAATTTATAACACCATAAGTTGGGATAAAACACAATATAACTCCCATGGCCCATAACTATGCTGATATGACATGGTCACTGGTTGGTTGAACTGCACCCCCAACAATCGGCCCAGATTGTTGGAGTGTTCCCTAACCTGCCATGTTTGATGGAAAGAATATTAGAGATTCGTCACTATCCGGGATAACGACCTGGCAGGAGATATTCAACTTTGCTCCCACCTAGGTCCCACCTCCAATATCAAAATTTGCTGAGCTGAGTAGCCTCTTGCGCAAAGCATCCTGCAGGGTTCAAAAAGAAGGCTTGAACGGAACTTCAGCAGTTTGATCAACAACGGGAGATCAATGGGATCTTGCCATGGAAAACAAAGTACAGCAAAGTACAGTAAACAAAAAACAAGACACTGAGAAAAAAATCAGAATCTGGGTCCATGTACACATTATTGGCAAGACACTGTATCAGGGTACAATATGGACAGGGTGAACCAAAATCAGGTTGATGCATCTGATCTCTGGGTCCATGACTTTGACACATCGACCTGCTGTTTGGGACGAGATTCAAGACAGGCATACCGCCCTTGGCGACTTGTCATTAACATCAGTAGGCCCAGCAGCCAAGAGATTTTACAGTTGCCATGGCTTCCCCATCATGGATGGTTCGATATTGCGTGCCCCTTTCAACATGGATCTTCTATCATAGCAAATATGTGATCCTCCACTTGTGATTCATCCCCCCTGCGCCTCAAACATGTGTCGGAAAGCCAGATCAATGCGCATCAAGTTCTGCTCGAACCAGGTCTCATCGTACTCGCCTGGTGCAGCGGAGTCCAGGTCAAGGGGTAGATTCTCTGCTGATGTGTGCTCTGGGATCCTCATGACGCAGGGCTCACGCACTGTTGATTTGTAAAAACAGCCAGTACACATCTAGATTCCGAGACCCACTTTATCACCAATTACATACCTCTAACCTATCTATCCATCCATCCATATACATGAAACTATAAACATAGCTGGAAGGTCCTTCGGATACCCCACAAACTACTTAGTTCCTTAGTCGAAAGTCAAACGTCTCTAGCATAAGCAACAATATATTGAACAGCAAGAACCACTAACTTACCATACACCTTGTAATCTCATGGTCAAATATATGGGCATGATCCGTCAAAACCCGCCAAATGGTAATCATTTAGAAATGATGCTAAGCCTATTTTCAGACCATTCCATATTGGTAGATTATGATAGGGGTGCAGTAATGCTACTGCAGCCACTTCTGTAGGGACTAGCTTTGGTACCCCAAATTCCAACGGTTTATCATCACTTCCCCGAGTAAAACTGCAATGATTGGGGGGCTACAGGCCCATACAGTTAATATTGTTGGTTATCATACCAGGAAAGCATAAATCCAGATTTCCAAAAGCGAGTCATAGATGTGTTAGTCATCATATTTTAATCACGTACTATTTTTGGCTTTCCTAAAATGATGGATCCCCACATCACCATAGGTTAAAATACTAAGTCATGGTCATCCATGACGACTGGATGAGAACTGTGGGTACCCCCATGACCTTGGAAACCTCCATAGAAATTATAGCTGTACATATTAGATTATCTTTCACTATCCCATACCATTATGTCGTATATCCATTACAATGTGGGATCATCCCCTTATAATAGATTGTAATCCTGAAATCCATTATTATCCCATTATATTCCCATTATATCCATGATTACTGCATGTCATACCACTATGATACTGGTTATGTAGAATGGGATAGTCATGGTCTACTATATTATGGTCTACTATTATGATGGGACTGACAATATCTAAAAATAGATATAATGGGATAACAAGCATACAAATTGTGGGTCTAATAATATGAAATGGGATAATCATGGGATTAGAATGGTATTTTAATGAATATCTACCCTCTGGTAATTTAACGTAGCTCTTGAAAATGGCACATTTATAGCAAAAAACAACCTATTAAACTTGGTATTTTTCACTTCGCTATGTTAGTTTACCAGAGGGTAATATGTTCTCCCATTCTTTTTGCGGAAAATCCCTGCGCAGTGCGAGTTGCTGTGAAAGTCCCTGAGCCACCGCAGGAAGAGCTGCTCCGATGGGACAGCTGTTGACTCCGAGCCCTCCTGGGGATAGCCAGAAGTTTATTTATATATATATATATATCTATGGATAGATATTTCTATACACATGTATACTATAGATACAAAATTAAAGAACTCCACATATCTATAGATGAATATATATATATATGTATATATATATATATATATATATCTATATAGATACATGTATATCTGGAATTATATTTAGAAGAGTTGGTCTCCAACCATTCCAAGTGCCTCCCCAACGAGATGTGGAGGCAGACCAACGCCTCCAAACGGTCCAAGAAGTCCAAGACATGCTGACATACCTGGAGGTTCCAGGCTGCCGCTTCAAACAATAACCTTTTAAATGCCACCATATTGAACATGAATTAGAATGCATTATCGTGATGATGATGATGATGATGATGATGGTAATGATGATGATGATGATGATGGTAATGATGATGGTGATGATGATCATGATAACGACGACGACGATGATGGTCAATCACCAACAGGGTTTGAGTTTAAAGATGGGTTTATCAATTAGATCATCTGCCTCAGACTGGGGCACGCTCAGACTGTCGTCGCTGGTGATCGGAAATGGTAGATCTCCCGATTGAATGCGGTGTTTCCCTACAATAACCATAAATAGCGTTCCATACTGTAACCCCATTCATCAAGCCTATAATCATGGTACATGTGCAATTCCATTCAATACAATGCCATACATTACTGGTTGATGGTTTCAACTCATCTGACAAAATATAACTCAGTAGGTGAGCATCCACCAAATATGGGTTGAACGTAGACACATATCTAAAACCACCAGCCAATTATTCTATCCCTATCATGCTATCTAAACCAAAATACTACGTAGTTCTATTCTATATATATATACACGTATATATATATATATACATATGTGTCCACAGTTGTTCCATCATGTTTCCATTTACTGTCCATAATTCTTCCATCCTATTTTCATGCTGAAATCTGCTATAAATGATCCAAAATCATCCTAAAATCATCCTAACATCATCTAAACATCAATCTAAATCCATCCAAATCCATCTAAGTCCACCTAATCCCATAGAGTCTTCATCCTTTCCCCACCCTTCCCGGTGCCCCTTAAGCGCTGCCGGCGCACCACGCGTTCGCTCTGCCGATCCGCCGCGCGCTGCAGCGCCTCCTCGCTCTGCTTCTCCAAGCGCTGCTGCCGCTGCTGACGCAGCTCTGCCTGGCGCGATGTAACCGGGAAAGATCGGGATTTTCGATTTATTTATATTTCAGTGTGTATATATATAATACACACATATATATAATATATATATATATTTAATATGTAATACATATAATATGTAATATATATATATAAAAATAATATGTAATATATGATGTAATATAATCATATTATATATATATATCTATATATATATGGCATATACATATACATATACATATACATATACATATTATGTTTCATTTATGTCTATATATGGCAGAATGGAATTTCAAGAAAAATATCAGAACAGGTGATAAGTGGACAGTTTGAAAAACAACAACACTACTTGGATATTTAAACGGCAAGAATTAGGACTTCCAGCAAAGGAAGGATTTCAGGTGAATTTCAACAGCAAAGATGGGGATTTCGTCACGAACACTTGAGCATTTACCCGCTGGGCATCTAAGTGGTATGGACTATCCACCAAGTGTTCATCCATTGACATGACAGGTAAAAACTATCTGTAAATGATGCTTTTACATTGCCATGCTGGCTCATGGTGGGCAATTATTTTCGCAGTTGCCTTCAACGTGGTGAATTATCCCTGAGTATTGTTGGCATGTTCACCATTATATTTCTGTTTCTGGTTCAACTTGGATGACGACCAAGCGCCTGAGCCGGCTTTGTGATCCGCCCACAGAATCAGCAGGAACCCATGTTCAATCGTTCAGGGGATCTTCACATTTCCTCACACCATTCTGACCACGTCTCTTTCCAGCCAAACATATGGATGAACCGGGATGAACAACTAAACCTTTACAGCCTTGGCTTGAAGCCCACATATTTGCTGCTCCCAAGTCATCCAAGTCCATCGGCCTCTTGCGCACCTGCAGCTTCAGCTTGCTGCAGCCTGGTCCATTGCTGTGAGGACACCCAACTGATTGTTCCAAGCTCACCAACTTTTTGGGGGGTTAGTCACTTCTGGCGGACACTGGATCACCTCGGGAGTTGCCAGGCTGTATGATGTGGCTTCACCTGTCAAGTTGTTCATGACAAAAACCTAGGACATGTATATCTTAGACACGGCTGAAAAAAAAAGGCTCTGAACAGGATCGGAGGTCTTTCGTCTGCAGAACTTGTAAACATCACCATCCTGCAGTAGACAGCTCTAGGCCCCAACGATCAAGCCTACAGGTTGCTACCCAGGATTGAACAGGAATGAATAACTGCATACTATTGTTGGTGATGTCCTCATATTTCCACGGATTCACCATGGACACAACAGTTGACAGCATTTACTACGAAGAGCTTTTGCTAATTTTGCCCCAAAGATCCTAACTCTTTCCATTGAAGAAACCGCCAATGGCACCGCCAGGTTGCAGATTCACACTCTGCTGGGCAAGCCATCCTCTGAGCTGCCCAAATCCCACCTGGTAGCCAGCGACATGTCTGAAGAATCCAAAGGTTCCAGGCCAACTTATACACTAGGATCATATGTATGTATATATATGATATATGCATATTATTATATGAATATATACATACATTATAGTATGTATATATATATAAATTATGTATATATATATATACATATTCATAAAGCTGGAAACGTCCAACTGTAATTGGTGATTCCAACCATGGACGGTACAGTATGTAAACCATTGTTAACAGGATTAATTATACCTCATGCACAAGCAGCAAATTACACCAAAGGTCACGAGTCAAAATGGACCCTCTAGTGACCTTTGCTTAAAGGTCCAGGGCGGACTTACGTTGATCAGAAGGTCATGCTGGTACTGCAACCGCAGCTCCCTGGGTTGTGGGACATAACCTATCTCCTTCCTTTCCCTGTTTGGAAATTTCCAGTGGTACCCCCACTTTCAAACCCAAACAAAACATCAAAACCTATCACAGCATAATTCAAGCGTCACAACTCATACATTTGATCAAAACAATGAAAGTGCCGAAACCCAACATTTGCCTGAGCATACCTGCCCATTCCCTACCCAGCCAATCCCTCAAAGTCTAATGTTCCCCGATTTCCATGTACACCACACCAACCCAACCAAAACTGAACCCCCTGGTCAGGCACTTTGGAGGTAGTCGATGGGAGAAAGGAACCCAGGCTCAAACCTGCGTCCTCTGGCAGCAACACATCTAGGGGTGCATATTGCAAGATATCCATGGATATCCAACAAAACTTGCAGAAGGATATCAGCCACACATTTTTTGGCCAGTGTTTCTGTGAGGAATAGTGGCCCAAAAATGCGGCAAGATAAGAGCAATTAATTCAGGAGATGACCAAGAACTAGTGATAACTAAGGGGAATCGGTCACTAGTTGTCAGGACCTGCAATAGGACCCTCGAATCAACTGGGTTTGGCGCCTTGTCCCCAAAGTTTTCTACCGATGCATCATACCCTGTCAAAATCTGACACGAGCACTGCACAAACATATTATTTGGAGTCCCAGTCCAAGGGTGCTGCAGAAGTGAACAAATAGGGGGAACACTCCACCAATCCAAATAGTTTTTTTTGGGGTCCCGTAGGATACAATTCTGTATACACAACAAAGCAAGCTAGCCATTTTCAAGGACATTAATTACATTATTACATGATACACGATCTAATACAAGAAACACACAGTGTAGACAAACACGTCCTAGGTTAAGTATGACGATCGAACCGCTACACTCATGTTCAGACATGGGATAAACCCCATCACATGTGTGTGTATGTATATATGTATATATTTACATGTTTATATATTACTTCGTATAGACAGTGTATTTCTGTAAATTTCTGTGTATCCTGATGCCCTAAATGGTAGAGTTGGGTAAGCTGGGGATGATGGATTCTTGGGCTTACTGCTTTATATACAAATGATACCCTTGAGAAACCTACCTGGATATCGCACATCCCGGGTTTCCAAAGAACATGATATGCAAACAAAAAACACATATGTATATTAGGGTATTATGATACAAGATATCTCCCTTTATGGCTAATTTTACACCGTCATTTTTGTTTGGGGATTTTGTTTATGGATAAATTGTAATACCCTCCTGTAAACATACAAAAAACATATGGACACAACGTATCATTTTCAGATCATTTCCCGACTGGAAAACCATTGGTTGTCCAAATCTATGTTAGTTTACCTCAGGGTAGCTAAGTTGCCAAAATAATTCCAACAACTGCTGCATATGTATATATATCTGGGTAAATTATAATAATTCACTAACCTGAAATAAGGCCATGTGGGGATGATTTCCCTTACTAACCATGATTTCCAGTGAGGTCGCAGTGAGGTCGTTATAATTTACCCATATATATATATAAAGTAGATATATCGAACTAGTTGGGCGGGTTTAGAAAACAACTAGTGCGATCTAGACACAAATGATTTTCCTTATTCGGTTGGAACTATTGTAAATGCCGTGGGGTAGATGGGTCAAATGAATCAAATAGGCCAAAACCACCCCTAAATCATCCCTAAATCATCCATCCATGGTGGGTTTTCCATCTGTCCCCCATCTTTCCGCCCTCACCACGATGGCCCCCGTCCTCCGCACATGGCCTTTCCGCTTTCCGCGCGCGCGCCGCGTGGTCCGCGTGGCGCTGCCGGAGGGCCTTGAGGCGCAGCTCTGCGCGGAGCAAGGCGTGGCGCAACGCCTGGAGATGGGGGATTTGATTGGGAAAAATCGATGGACAATCGATAGAAAAATCGATGGAAGATCAGGACAAATGAGGATTTTGGGGATTTCATTGATGGGAAAAACTATGAGGAATCCCCAACTATATGTTTCAGTAGGGAAATTTGCACACGTATGGAAATTCCATGGAAAAACAAAGAATATTATCCAATCATATCCAATCTATGGGGATTTTCAAGGGATTTGATGGGATGTTATGATAAGTTATAAGGACTTATCAGATTTGACGATCAAGAATGGGGAGATTAATCCCATCCCCCTGATATCATTCCCCCCTAATATTTGGATGTTTAGCATTAGGATGGTACGAGTATTACACAAAACTACTTTCTGAAATTATAGCTATTCTTATATGGGCTAAACACCATCTTTACCTATCTTATTTTATCTTTACCATATCTTGAGCATATAATACATGTTTTTACTTTATATATATAAGTAAGAACATAATATACCACATTACGGAAATTACATTCACATATGATTGGTCTCAATATGTACACGTGTAGATACATGAAAAAATGTAGGGATATAGCCAATCCCTTTCAATACACAATACGTGTCGATATGTAGTGATGATTCAGTACATATATAATGACGCAAAGTATAGACAATCCATTATTGTAGAATTCAAAACAAACAAAACGTCAGTGAACTGTTAAGTGAATGGATGTGGACAAATGTGCAATATTTTCGATAGCGTTTGCGTATGCATATGTATGCATATACATGTATATATATATATGTATATGTATGATTATATACGTATGTAACTGAACAAACATCTGACTTAAAGTTCTAGATTTGCAAGTCAAACTAATGTGTATATATATATATGCAAGTTGGTTGGAGTATGGCGTGTTCTTTTGTGTTGATTTATACTAACCATTGATTTGCATAGCAACTACCATCATATGTGTGTAACAATTCAAAAACCGACCCCGGGAAACTTTCAGTGCCAAGCATTCCATGGCCCAAAATCCAGTGCCATCCTTTTTGAACCGTCAACGGAACCGATTTTAAACAATACTATTCTTTTCCCTTGTGACTACGCAAGAATACATGAATTAGAACAATCGATGAATTATAAATGCAATATGCAATATATATATATAGATAGACATGTATACACACCTTGTGATGTGTACATATAAATAGACTCTTATCTATCATATGATACATACAAACCAAACAAATGTATACTGGCCGTGACGAACCAACTACCACCGCCTGCACCGTTTCCTCAGCCGCCAGGATCTCTTTCTCCAGCTCCTAAAACGGAGTTGGAAACTAGTTGAAACTGGAGGAACTCATGGCAGAAACATGGAAAAACGTGGAAAACACATGGTACAACCTGGTACAACTATAGGAAAATATAGGAACATGTAGGAAAATATGGGAAAACGATAGAAAAAACTCTGGGAATTGCTGGAAAGATGTTGCTTCTTGCAAGAACTATACAGATTGGCATGGGGACTTCGGATCCACATGGCGAGGTTTCCCCAGTGAGGCTTTCGCCCACGGTCTAAGTCTTAGGTGTCCGACTGTTGGCTAAACCTCGTTGTGGTAGCGGCATTCCGGGTGGCAAAATCATAATATTTTATGCAGTTACAGTAGAACCTCAAGTTTGTGCTGGCTAAATCCACATTTTAACTCTTGCGGCTCTGAAATAATCTTAAATAAGCATACTAAATATTCTAATGTTGGCCATACCATTTTTTTTTTGTGTTAAATATCATACTTTTGATGGCTAAACCCTCTCCCGCAAATTCCTGCTCTCCGTCGTCACAGGGACCAGTTGCGGCCATTGCAGCACTGTTTCTGAAGGACTTTTGGGTTTCTGAGGGTTGGATGGTTTCGGGTGATTTACGATTATGTTCCACGTGAGATGTCTTAAAAAAGATGTTAAAGTTCTGATTTAAGATGCTATTGATGGTGTCTCATACTTGTGTCTATGGTAATATGGTGGTGCGTCATTGTTTAAGCAGAACAGTGGGGATTCCCAACCATCACTCACAGACTCACAGACGTTTAGTAACCCCAGGATGATGCACCACTCGGGACCTATGATGGACCTATCCTGGTGAAAGCTCGAATGGAACCCCAAGAAATGAGCATTGCTGGAAAATCACCCAGCTATATAGTTTGATGATTGCCCCAGCTATAAATTCCATTGAGTTCGGGCATTTCCCAGCCCGAAAGGATAATTTTTCGACCTACGAGTTCCAAACTTGCCGGGTTGGTGGACATCTTTGAGCAGCTGACGTCTGTGGCACGAACAGGTGTATCCGGTGGCAATGTACTATGTACATGCCAATGTTTATGCAAATCTATGCAGGTATGCGCATGTATGCTTATGTATGCAAGTATACTACTGTATCTTAAACAAGCATAAATAAATAAATATAATATTAAATTGTAATATAGTGTAAAATAATACAATATAAAAAACAATAACATCACATATCATATATGATACTACAATATAAATTAATAAAATGTGACGTAAAATAAACTCAAACAATAATGTAAATACATGTCATATAACACAATATAAAATAATAAAATATAATATAATAAAGTATAATATGAAAAAACATAATATAATATAATATAACATAACATAATATAATATAATATAACAAAGTACAATATAACATAATACAATATAAAATAATAGAATATAACACAATATAATACGATATAATATAATATGATATATGATAATTCAAATATAATATAAATTAATATATAAATTTGTTGAGATCCTTTGGATCTAAGTACCTGTGACAAGGTACTTGATCCCCAACATGTGCCACACATAGCCATCTTCATCCATGAAAAACTCTCAAACCCATGCTGTCATTCTTGCAAAGCCATACTTTGGACGCAAAAACCTGAAGGTTTAATGCTTTTTTTGGGTTGGTGTACTTATGGAGCCATCTGCGAGCAATGTTCATTGATTTTTTGTCACTGTATGCTGTGTAGGTAACGTACAAGGTTGTCTACATCTAAATACACATATTATATTAAAGTTAAAATAATATATATATATATATTATATTGTACTATATTACTATATACACACTATTATGGTGTAGATGTTTATGGAAAGGATATGAAAGGGCAGAGTCCGCAGCTACAATTCATCAACTTGCTGGCTGAGATTCTGTGACGACGCCTTGTTGAGAAAACCCATCTCAGCACTGTCAGTATTCTCAGCACGCCTGGGGGTAGGGCGTAGGGGTCCCGATAAAAAGCTACTGGGATAAGCGTGCTTGGATGCGTTGACTGGTTTCTAAGCAATCAATCAGATGACATGAACATAGCTTCATCAATCCATGCTCCCGTTCTAAAGCAATACGGTATCAACCGGGGATCAATAACCCCTGTTTAATTACACAGATCCGTTTATGCATACATCATATACATATTCATACATATATCATATACCCTGTATACCCTCTGGTTATTTAACATAACCATGGAAAATGGTCCATTTATAGATGGTTTACCTATTAAAAGTGGTGATTTTCCATGGCTATTTTCAGCAGTGGATCCAACAGAGCTCGAAACTCGATAGCTCTGGACATATTTGGCTTGACTAACTCCTCAGGACTCGGTTAGCATGCCATCAACATGGGTAACACATGAAGAACAAACATAGGTAAAACCAAAAAACATCACAACATTGTTATTTGTATGCTTAACATGCCAAATTATGCCAAATTCATGCCTCGGTTTTGGTTACACGGGCACCTGCGGCCCTTGATAATTCTGTCATTTTTCCAATTTGATGTTGGGTTACATGTCCCGGAATCATTGATGACGGGTCACATCCGCATAATGTGAAAATCTGGATATAGAGAACGGATGATTGTCATGCAGCACACCAGGTCCTCTTTGTTCATGAGTGGGCACAGTTGGGGTGGGAGTGGGCTGGGTGGGCAACAACGTTCTTGATGTGACGTTGTGCGCTCGTGGTACATAAGTTGAACCCTTTGCTGCTAAGCTCCTCATGGTTCATCTACATGAAATGAAGCAAATTGCGAAGAAAAAAGAGAGCCATAGTCGAATTGCTGGAACACAGCAAACTAATAAACTCTGGACATGGTGCAAGAGGTTCATATTTGGCCGTGTGAAACACCTATCAATTGCCTTCCCAACCCACAGTTGTTCAGCCAGGCATACCAATAGTATGATCCAATACGTATGGGGAAAGAAAGAACAATGTGGACAAGAACTTGTTCAGCTTTTGGCCACGGAATTAAAACATGAAGGATGAGAAAGAATGAACAAAAACAAATATCTGTTTTGCAGTACATATGAGAGGGCGCACAATCCCCTGCAAACAACATTAAAAATCCGTTTTGAACGCCGTCCCCAGTCCTCACATGGCATTTCGTTGCGATTGTGAAATTTGCGACATTCACAAAACATTGCGATGGTGCAAAAAATCAAGAGTTGACACCAGTTGCAATATTCATTCGTCAGGGGCCTCAAGCACCTGTGTTACCTCTTTTTTGGTCATGTTCATGTTCGGTTCCCCAAGGTACCACGCTGTCAAGCCATGCCCCAGAACCCAGGATCCAATCTGATCCAGGCTCCACATTGGCAACATGGAAACGGCGCTAAGACATGCGCAGCATTGCGCAGCGCCCAACCTAGATGCCCCACACTGGAAACCATCTTCGTTCAAGTCCCATTATCTTCCCCCCATCAACGGCACCTGGCCACAATGTTTGTGGATGAGCATCTCCGATTCCCTGTGTCCCGGGATTCGGGTGGGACTGGGAAAGACGTTGCAGGGGTGAACACATGACATCTTTGAAACCACCGGCCGCTTTTGGAGCTGCAATGAGAACAGGAGTCTGTGATATTCCGTGAATGTTACGCTGTATAGTGAAGCTGGAAGAGTAGTTGAACATGGTCATTCCTGGGAGGACTTGCTTTCGTTTCAACCATCTCGAAAGAATTGGGATCATCATCCTATTCTAACATCAGAAATGGTGGAGTTTTCACCGAACCAGATATTTTGGCCATATTGGCCCTGCAAAACACAAACACATTGAAAAACCATGAAAAACCAATCCCCCTTGGCCACTTGGCTTTCAGGCCTCGAGGACATCGGGCGCAAGTTGCGCCAAGCGCGGCGCAAGCAGCGGGGAACCGCCGGACATCCCAGGATTGCGCGGACCTCATGGGTCCAGCACCCCACAAGTCGCCACATTTTTCACCCATCTCCTACTGGAAGATACAAAAGGGGCCACATGTTGTGACCATCCTTTAAGTTTCTGACCTAGAAAGGAAAACATTGGAGGTCAATGCTTGCGCATACGGATATGAATGGAAGAAAGACAATGGAAAAGATCACAAGCCGCTTCACATATTCAAATCGAAAGTCCTGTTGTTCATATAATTTCACATATGTGTTTCTGTTCAACTTGTTTGGTGCGGTCTTTGGAATTGACAGGTATTAATAGGTAGTACATAGCTCCTTAGCTACCTCCAGTCACTGGACAGTTTCGTCCAATCCGCCTCTGCAGGGGCTGTCTAAACGGTCTCTCCACTCCTGGCAGTAACAGCCCAGCAAAGGGATTTCACGAAGATTTGTGACTTGATTCCAACCCCGTGGTGGTATCCTAAGTAGTTCGACCTGGCAATGGAACATTCCCCATGTCTGGTGTTCCACATTGTCGTGTTAGATAACAACAGGAGCTTCGTTCCTCAAAACTGCCCAGGTCTCTCCAGTTCCTAGATGTTTCCTGTGATATTCACAGCAAATATCAAGTGTTTGATCACAGCATGGCCACGAAAATGGCCACCAGAGCCACTCTCCTGGCGATGCGGCAAATCTTTGGCCACATGCCAGGGGCAACGGCGCGGATCTCTGGACCGGCATGGCAGACTCCATGACCACGTGGACCCGGGACGGTGGGACCCCAGGAGATTTTTGGGGTGAAGCAGCGAAAGTATGTTGTCATTATTTTTTGCAACTGCGGAGTGCTGTAAATATCTGTAAACTGTATATATTGCTATCATGACATATCAGATCATCACAATACAACTCTTCTCACCGCAAATGAAGATCCGACATGGATTTTTTGCTAGTCAAACACGGGAATAGGCTTGCGACACTAATTCGGACATGTGACGAACCAACATGGGGAATATCATCAGCATCCTAGTTCAATTATACATGGACAACTAACCATTTTGTTCGACGATTTTCCCATTATTTTCCACCAACTGATATATACCTATATATATATAATATGTATATATTGTATATGAATGGTAATTCACCAAGCTGAAACTTGGGGGCCACCCCATTTGGGGATGATTCCCCTAACCATCATGAGGTCGCTGTAATCTGGTCCAGAGATGTTGTTGGTTACATTCCATAAAGTCCCATTTAGTTGTAACCAACATTTTTGCAATTTAAACCAGATAAAATTCCATTTAGTTGTTCGTTTGTTGCAATTTAAGCCACTATTTTTGCTGACCCGGCATCAACATCGACCAAGCGCATCCATCTAGATGTTTTTTTTATCCAAAAGGTTGTTATAAATTGTCCATATGGTTATCCATGATTATCCATATGTTTCTCCATGACATCCCATTATATCCCCATTGTACAATCATTTTTGTTTGCGCCCCAATTCTTCATGGCGAAACCGCTACATCCGTAGTCGCTATCACCGATCCGATGCACACACAAGGTGCCGCTCAGCAGCTGAGCCAAAGGTGAGGGCTCCGTTGGTTTTGGAGGTTTGTGGCCCCCAAAAAGGAACGTGTTGTGAATGTGCTCATCATCTTATGTCATCTTCAGTCTGTCCTTCTCTGCGTTTTGGACAGAGAAAAATGCTGGCCATGTTGCTACATATGTATATGTATAGATATCATCAGAGTATACAAGGTATTTTACTCATCTCATTATGAATGATATATTTTACTCATTGTATCCCTGTGAATTTTGGTCATGTCCCTGCAACCATACTGGCACGCATTATGAATGTCCCTCATTGTTGACGGCAAGAAATTCCGCTCTAGCTGGAAACCAGATTGGGGGTGCTTTGACACCCGGATGTGAGCTGCTGTCGCGAATTGCATGTTTTTTGTTAGCTTTGTCTGAGTGCCTGTAAGGCTTTAAATTGCAATGGGGAAAAAAAAATGAATGTCCCTCATTGTTGAGCACACCCAGTGGTTGCTCTTTTTGTCCGGCAATCATTGTGTTTGGGGCTTTTTGGACCTGTACCTACCCCTTTTTGTTTGGCCCACTATGATGGATTTCTGTAAAGAAGCGCTTGCTTCCTTAGACCTGATTTGTTGGACACGATGTCCACATTCTGCTCATTGAACTAAGGTCTGTGTATGTTGCGGTTCAACATCTCCATTGTTGACGTTATTGTTTGTGAAATTACCACCTGTCCCCACCGGATGCGGAGAACTCTTTTCCAAAACGATCTCATCGAACGTCGTCATCATCCTGAAGATGTTGCGGATGCAATCATCTTTGATGATTTTAAGGGGTGGGGGGAGTGGCATAGAGTGCGTGGGAACTTATATTTCCTGACGGGTAGTATCAAAACCATAATCGGAGAAACATCATGTGCCATATGGGGAATCTCCTTCAAGGATCGAATGCTTTGGCTCTTGGTTTGACCCGAATTCTTGCATGACGTTGTGCTCACCAATGCAATATTTGTTCAAACAGAAACGCACGTTGAGTGTGCTTATCGTGTTCTGTCTGTCTCTCCTTCTCTGTCTCTGTTTCTTTCTCTCAATGCATATTTATAAACAAATGTGTGGTGAATGTCGCACTATCTTTGATGTATAGGCCACATGAATGTATGTGCTGTATATGTGATAAATACACGATACGACATGGCGTCTAGTTCGGGGCAGCAAATGCACTCTTGTCTCTACACATCATCAATACACTGCAAACACAAGAAACAAGTCTACACATTGTAAAAACTTTCATGAATTAGGTTCCGATTCCTGTGTCCAGAGTAATTCCCTTTCAAGCTGGTAATAGAAAGCTCCTTTTTCAATACACCCCGGGTTCCACTGGCCACTGGCATCTAAATCTGCAGTCTCAGGACATCCAATCTCTACCAATAGCAACACATAGCAAGTGCAAGTCACTGAATATGGTAGTTACCCAATGTTACCCATAAACCTGCCATGTGGGGATGGTTGCAACCCATAAATTGGCCAGTCATTGGTGTCGGCACCAACTGGGAACCTCCATGGCAACGTCTTGCTGCTGCAGCAACCTGAGCCAAACTACGATTCAAAGCTACGACTCAAAATCTGTGTCTCGCGTGTCTTGGGTCTGCTGCTAGCTACCAGCTACTTGGTGCTAGATAGTACTAGATATCTGTAATCTATAAAACTATAAAACTATATATGTATCATTTTGTATCTACATAAGTTACATAGTCTACATCATTAGTCATTCAATTACCTGAATCATCCCGAATCTATCCATCTCTCACATTTTTTTTGTATCTTGGGTGCGCATGCCAGCACGCCACTGGCTCCGCTGAGACTGAAACTCCAGTTCTTCGTCTAGTGCCTTGGTATATAGGTTTTATCACACTGGAGATGTAAAATGCACTGCTGATGGAAAACTATGGGAAAATCAAGGAATAAAACATGTTTTGATCACATTAAGTGCACTCCACATTAAGTTTGATGCCTTTTTTTTGGAATTTCCATTTACATGTGGAATAGTGGTTGCTTCCAAATAAAGGAGCAAGGTTTTCTTCAGAGTGGCCCAAACGTGGATCCAGAATGACACCAAACCCCAGGGCCCCAAAGTGAATCAATTTGAATCGCCTATCATGCCCATTGTTCTTGGGGAGGGAGTCTCCTTTATAATGTCGAAAAGATGATGTTTATACAGTAGAATCCGTGGTTTTGGTTCGATTTATCTCCATATTCTTTGGTAATACCCTTCTAGTATTAAACACGGTTTGCTGGAAAACCCTCCAGTTGGTTTGATGATTTTCCTATTAAAACATATTTGCACAAACCCTATGTTTGCCAACCACCGATCCGGCATATCCTTTGACATGCTCAAATCCGTGTGTAGGACGTGTGTTGTTGACTTTCCAAAACAATAATCCATAAAACCCTGAAACCCTAAAACCCCAAGACCCTAAAACCCTAAATCCTGAAACTTTTGAAGTCTGGAAGTGTTATTTGGAGGTGGGCGAACGTGTATGGATGGTTTGGCGCCAGCATATTAAAATCTCCATTATATAACTACCCTAGCAGTAGATAATTATGTTAATTACAACCATAGATAGATAGATGAATGTTCCCTCTATAGAACATCTTAAAACCTCCAAATCTTAAATCATGTTCCATGATTTTCACAAATTTTCCCTCGATTTTTCATGGGAACGCCGATTTCGCCATGGGAGAAACGGCGGAAATCTGCCGAGGTGCCATCAGCCGCTGTGCGAGCTCCCGCACGGTGCAGCGCAGGCGCTTGCGACATCTCGTCTCCTAAAGGCAGGCAGCGTTTTGGATCCACGGATTTTTTGCCATGGAAAACCAGGGGAAGTCGTGGATGTATATAACAATATGCCATATATATATGATTTAACATGTGTAATTCAATTTCAATATATATATATATATACATTTTTGGTAAAAAAACAATATATATATATATCCATAAGTCCATAATGTCTGTCATATGTATGTGTATGCAAGTCTAAGTAAATTGTACACGATGGGCATCCCAAACAAATCGTGCGCAAAGCAGAAGCCAAGCCTGGATCCATTCCAACTCAACTCAAGGAAAATCACGGAATTGACGATCACAGCCATGGCTTTATAGCTATTCTGGGGGTTGCATGGCAGCTAAACAGGTTCCAACAATGACAATGACACAAGAACTCCTACGCTGGGATAAATTCCCTGTCTCCCAATCAATGACCAGCAAACGGTAGACTATCATCGAATATCAATATCATCTTATGAGTTAATGAATCTATACATGTGCGCAATGCACTTGCATCCTCCATGGTATAGTTGTTTTTACTCGTTGTTCCAAAGAACACAGTTTTAATGGCATTTCATTTTTAAAAGAAAACAGGAGAAACGGACTGTAACTCCAGAACTGATCGGGTAGTGTTGCTGTTTGATCGTGCAATGTCGCCGCTGCCAAATTAAACCAACAACCGATTACTGGCAAACAACAGAAAATGACTCCCCCAAAAAAACATGCCACTGATATCAAAAACATGGAATTTGGGGAAACAATGGTATAACAAAGGTATCACTTCGAAAGTCGCAGGCAGGACGGAATTTTGTACACAAGATTCCTACATAGACTGTATGCATGAACAAATACTGGACACTCAATGTAGTTGGCTGTAAATCCGGTTATATTCAGTATATATCCCCATTCATATCATATTCATAATATGTGTATATATATATCAGATCCCATTGAATTCTCACGTTTAATGATTCAAGTGATATTTTATGATATGTGAAATGATGATGTTCATGTATCACTTGATGTCTAATGATTATATGGGTATGGATCAAAATTGGGTATCTCAATAATTCTTTAATACTAAACATTTGTGGTTCCCCAGGTCTTTGATTTTGACCAATACCCATATCCCCAACATCAAGTGTAGCCCTGCTGAGCTGCCTCTGTCAGCGATGCCGCTGCAGTTTTCAGCGACGTCACTGCACTGTTCAGCTGCTGTTCGCACGACTGGGCGGTGGCCGTGGGGGAGACAGGAGTTGTCTCATGGGGAATCCCCCAAATCAGGTGACGCAAGTATAGAGTTGATGTTCATATTATCAAGCCAACTTAAGGGGTCTCCAAAAATTGCATCCCTGTCATTCCATGATCTGTTCTCTGAT